CTCAATCGAAACGGCATCGTTTATAATAATCGCGTTCAACAAAGGGCTGGATGTAGGGAAGGTGTCTCAAGCGGGACGTGTCCTTCACGATCTGCCTGAACCTAACGGCATCTGTTCAGAGAGTCGGGTTTTCACAGGGCTGGACTTGTGGAGCATGTCTCAAGCGGAACGTGTCCTTGACAATCTGCCTCACCCTGGTGGCTGGCACTCCTTGGCGGCATCGGCTCGATTTGGAAGATGGGGGGCAGATGCTTTGGGCACCTCCTGGGAGGAGGTCTCGAGCGAAACTGCACATTTTGTTAGCGTCGGGGTCGGCAAGGGCTCGATCTGGGGAGGACGTCTCAAGCGAAACGGCCTTCTCGGAGAAGCTGGCTCGGCACAGGCCCGATTTGGGGAGGACGTCTCAAGCGAAACTGCCATTCTCTCAGGGTGGAGCTCGAAATCGTTGGAAATACATATAATGTTTTTGAAGAGGTCTGAGGTGGGCATGCTGAACATCCTGTGCTGTTGGACTTCTCCTTCGCGATATGCGCGAGGGGTGCCACCGATTTGTTTTAAAGAATTGTGAGCATGTCCGTAGCGAAACGGCCAGACTGCTCAGGACGGGCGCACGCAGCAACGCATTAATCCCCTCTGAGCTCTATTCCCTATGAGAGATGCGTATGATAATGTACATCTATATACACATGTGGTACCATCTAGATGGGGAAAACTATGTTGTGCAATCTATTTCGTGCAACCTATAGTGTGAACGATCAATAAGCGCGCCGCAGGCGCGACAACAAACGTCGTGCCATCTATGTGCTGCAGTTTTTCTGTGGTACAGCCAATGTTGTGCAATATCAGTTGTGCAACCTATGTTTTGCAGTCTAGGTCGTGCAACCTATGTGGTTGTGCACTATATGTGGTGCAGTCGATGCTGTGCAATCAATATAGTGCAGTCAATGCTGTGAGTGATTAATAGTCGCGCCGCAGGCGCGACAACAAAATTCGTGTCATCTATGTGCTGCATGCAGCCTATGCGGTGCAACCTATGTTGTGCAATCCAGATTTTTGCAACCTAAGTTGTGCATTCCAGGTCGTGCAATCTATCTGGTTGTGCAATCTATGTGTGGTGCCTTTACGTTGCGCAATATAGGTGGTGCACCCTGTGCTGTGAGCGATCCGAAGAGCGCGCCGCAGGCGCGACACTTTTTCGTGCAGTCTATGCGGTGCAGCCCAACGGCGGCGCCGGGCGGCGACGAATCGGCGACGGGGCGGCGACGGCTGGAACACAGCCACCAGTCTGCCCGCACGGCCCGGTTTCTTAGGGGATAATTGCGAAACCCTAAGTGCAAGGACTGCTTGGGGAATTAATTAAAAACAAATTGCCAGACGAAAGAACAACCCAACCATTTGCAGCTGCGAGTGCCGTAAGGCAGGTGATGCGATGATCGTGGCGTATCCGATGGCCTCTCCTTACAGGCAGCGTGCCACACAATTGATGCAACTCGAGCCGTGCAGGCGCTCTCACTGATACCGCTGGTGGAGTCTCTATGGGGCCGCGAAACGTGTGAGGGTTGTGCTGACAACGGGCCCGGGCCGTCCCCCGAGCGCTGCCACTGGGGCCTTCGACGGAGCTGCCTATGGCGCCACGAAGCGTGTGAGGAGTGCGCCAAAATGGGGCGGGGCCGTCATGCTGGCGCTGCCGCTGGGGCCTTCGGTGGAGTTCCCTATGGGGCCACGCAGCAAGGGAGTAGTGTGTCGAAATTGGCCTGATTCCGCACGCTGGCGCTGCGACTGGGACCTTCGGAACGTGTGATTGGTGTGCCGACATTGGCCCGAGTCTTTATGTGGGCGCTGCCGCTGGGGCCTTCCGGTGGAGCTCCCCTATGGGGCCAGGGAGCGTGTGATGTGGGGGGCGCCGACACGTGGCGGGGCAGCCATGTGGACTTTGCCATCCGGGCTTCTGGTAGGATCCCTATGGGGCCACGACGCGTGTGAGGGTTGCGCCGAAATTTGGGGTGGAACTGCATGCAGGCTTTGGGGTTTTGACACCTGGGCCTCCAGTGGAGCTACCTAATGGCCCCAAAACATGTGAGGGGTGTGTGACGAAATTGGGAGAGGAACCGCAGACTGTGCCAGTGGAGCCTTTGGTGAACCTCCCAAGTGAGGCCACGCGACGTGTGGGGTGCGCTGAAATTGGGGTGCAACCGCATGCGGACTTTGCCACCTGTGCCTCCAGTGGAGTTCCCTGAGGGTCCACGAAACATGTCAGGGGTGCGCCGAAATTGGGAGTGGAACCAGATGCGGACTGTGCCAGTTGGGCCTTTGGTGGAATACCCATGTGAGGCCACAAAACGTGTGTGGAGTGCGGTGAAATTGGTGCAGAAACGCGTGCGGACTTTGCCACGGGGGCCTTCGGTGGAGCTCCCTATAGGGCCACGAGACGTGTGAAGGGTGCGCCGAAACGCGGAGCGGAACCGCATCCGGACTGTGCCACTGGGGTCTTCGGTGGAGTTTCGTAGGTGGCCACGAAACGTGTGAGGGGTGCCACAAATGAAGGGTGGAATCGCATGCGACTGTGCCACTGGATTATTCGAAGGACTTCCTTATGGGGCCACGAAGCGTGTAAGGGGTGCGCCGAAATATCTGGTGGAACCGCATGCGGACTTTGCCACTGCGGCCTTGAGTTGAGCTCACCATGGGGCCACGAACGATGTGAGGGTGTGTTGAAATGAATGGTTACTTGGAGAGAAAAGCCAGGGATGTGAGGCTGGAGGATGGGGTGCGGGAGTGAGTGAATGAGTGAGTGAGTGAGTGAGTGACGTGGGACGCTGCTGATTCAAGCGAAGACCCAACACCACATGATGTTTGGGAATCATCTAGTTTTGCCTTTGGGGGGCTTCTTACGTATCCTCTCTGGGGCACCCTTCCACCATCTTGGGAGCCCATTGGGCCGTCTACCGGCCTTCTTTTTTCCATCTTGGGCCATCTTTGACGCGACTTGGCCGCATTGGAAGGCTCTCCGAGTCCTCTTGGGGCATCTGGGGCCGTCGTGGGCTGATCCGCTGTGCTCGGGACCTAGCTTCCATGGCCGCTATCTGGGGTGCGGTACGCCATTTTGTGAGCAGGGAACCGATTGTGAGTGCATACGTGTGTTCATGCCATACGGAGCACCCCGCAGTTGCGGATAAGAGTGAGGGGGCGGCGGGTTCGTCCGCAGTCTGCGAGGCGCTGGGGGAGTCCGCTGCATGCGCCGATGTTTTAAAACACATTGCACAGCGAGCCCGCCGCAAGCGCAGATTTTTTAATTTTCCAAAGCAATGTGGGTGGGTCGCAGGTGGGTCACGGGTAGGTCGATGAGTGGGTCGCGGGTGGGTCGCGGGGCGGGTCGCGGGTGGGTCGCGGGGCGGGTCGCAGGTGGGACGACGACAACAAGCACACAAACAAACAAGCAAGCAAAATCCGCGCCGCGGAACTCCACTTCAGCCGAACACCCCGAGACAGTGATTGAGCGTTCGGCCCCCTCACTCTTATTTGTAAGTTTATATGTGTATATACAACATGTACCTGTGTATGAGATCCCTGTTCTGTGGCGGCGACTCAACATGATCTAAGTCTTGAACTATGATTCCAATTTCAACAGATTTGCGGCTTGCAACTCCCTTGTAGCGCTGGTGCTAATATGCTGCCCGTGTACCCGCGAGAATCCCCTACGTCCTTCCTCCCTCCTCCTCCTCCCTCCTCCCTCCTTCCCCCTCACAGCCTCCCTCTCCTCCTCCTCCTCCTCCTCCTCCTCCTCCTCCTCCTCCTCCTCCTCCTTCCTCAATTCTTCTCCCCTGCCCCTATGCCTGCTTTCCTGCCTTCTGCTCCTCCTCCTCCTCCTTCTTCTTCTGCTCCTCCTCCTCCTGCTCCGACGACGGCGTCGGCGACGAGGGCGCGCACGCGCTCACGTCATACAGGCAGGCGCCTGATCTCGTTGTCGTCCCGCCTGCCGTGGTAAGCGCCGGAGGACAGGGCCGCCTGTGGGAGGGGTTTCGCCGCGCCGCGCTGCGGTCGCCCCAATCGGCCTGGAGGTTGGAACGGAGGAGGAGGAGGAGGAGGAGGAGGAGGAGGAGGAGGACGAGGAGGAGGAGGAGGAGGAGGAGAAGGAGGAGGAGGAGGAGGAGGAGGAGAAAGAGGAGGAGGAGGAGGAGGAGGAAGAGGGAGAGGAGGGAGGAGGAGAAGGAAGGAGGAGGAGGAGGAGGAGGAGGAGGAGGAGGAGGAGGAGGAGGAGGAGGAGGAGGAGGAGGAGGAGGAGGAGGAGGAGGAGGATGGGGAGTAGGAGCAGGAGGAGGAGGATGGAGCAGGGAGGAGGGAGGAGGGAGGGGGGAGGAGGGAGGAGGCCGCCCCGATACGTAACACGCAACCCGTAGCGCGTTGTCACTGAGCTCAACACGTAGACTGGAAACGCAGGTCTGGCGCGGTACGTTCGCCAAGACGTGGGCCCGCACGTGCCGAGCCAACGCGCGGCGTGCTAGCACGGACGTCTTGAACACGGCACGTGCTGCTTTTGACATCGAACGTCTCAGGGCAGCTAAGGTTCTGGACTCCCGGCCCTTCCCCAGGACGAACTCTCCATCCCGAATCGCATTCGACCTCCAGAACCCGCTTCCTCCAGGACCCGTTGCCTTCAAGGCGAGTCTAAACCATCAGATCTCGTCCTCGGAGGCCTTCGCGAAGGAGGCCGCACCGTGGGAGGGACCGCTGGGTTAATCGTCGGATGCGACGTCGGCTTTCAACCTGTCGGCGAGGCCCCTCCGTCCATTCCTGCCCCGGCCCTATCCTCTCCAAATTCCGTGCCCTCCCCCCCGTGGCTACTCCTCTCCTCTTCAAATTCCGCGCCTCGGCTCTCTCCTCTCCAAACTCCGTGCCGCCGCCCCCCCCCCCCCCCCCCGTGGCTACTCCTGATGCTCAAGATGTCGGCGCCCGAGGGCCCTCCGAATTCTGAGAGGACGGGGTCGTCGGCGGGAGGGGCCGCTGGGTCGGGGTTGTCAGATTGGCGGCGCGCGCAAGGGGGCTGCGCGAGGGGGGCGGCCTTGAGGCGGGGGGCTTCTCGGAGGGCGAAAGTTGTGTATATGTATATGTATATATATACACATATATACACATATCTGTATGCATATATACATATATAAGTACAAAGAAATAGAGAGAAGGAGGAGGACGACGAGGAGGAAGAGGAGGAGGAACGAGGCGGAGGAGGACGACAACAAGCAAAGGATGCGTGAAGGTTTGATTGTTTTTGTGGTTTGGGGGTGCTCGGGGGGTGGGCGACCATACGCACACATACACACATCTATATCTATACATACATATATATATGTATATATATATATATATATATATCCACCGTCCCCCTTGCGGGGCCATCAGTCTCCCGAGATTCGGTTTGCTACTCCCTGCTCCAGTTCCAGTTTCCACTCTCGCATATTACAATTCTGTGTTCTGCTTCCTCCTGTGAATTGTTGAAGTCTGCGGGGGGGGGGAGCCGAGGTCCTGGGGCACGTGCGAATACGTGAGATTCGCGCACCCGAAGCCATAACCCCTCGTAGATTACGTACGTGGCATTCGCGCCCCCATGAGGCCATAATTCCAACGCAATGTTCGCGTCCCCGAGGCCATGAACCCTCGCACGTTACGCTGTGTTCGCGCTCCCGAGATCATACTTCCTCGTAAATTACGCAGTGTTCACTGCATCCCCGAAGCCACGGTTCCTTCCAATTTACTCGTTCTTAGCGTCCCCGAAATCATTAATCCTCGTAAAGTATGCAGTGGTCGCACTTTCGAGGCCACAATTCTTCAGCAAAGGCCTCCAAGACGATACAAGAGGCCTCCGAGACGGCCCAAGAGTGCTCCAAGGCGCCCACAATGATCCCAAGACGGCCCGAGAGGCCCCCAAGAGGCCCCCAAGAGCGCTCCAAGAGCACCCCCAAGAGGGGCCCAGGAGGCCAACATCTGTGATGTTCCTGAATTTTTTGATGGGTTTTGGTGCGCTCGCCTGTTCGGGCTTCCGATGCTCCCAGACGACCCAAGAGGACCCCCAAGACGGCCCCGAGACGGCCCAAGAGGCTCTCAAGAGCGCCACAAGACGAGACCCCCAAGACGGCCCAAGAGGGCCCCAAGACGGCCCAAGAGTGACCCGAGACGGGGGGGCCCGAACCCAAGTGGCCCCCGTTCGGAGTTCCGAGGCTGCTTTACGACGGCGCCCAGGCCTCACAACGTAGCAGCTCTTGCATGCCGCACTCTCTGAGAGAGGGGGCCGGCGGCAGGGGGCGAAGCCATCGCGGTGCGTATCTACCTATCTATCTATCTATCTATCTATCTATCTATCTCTCTCTCTCTCTCTCTCTCTCTCTCTCTCTCTCTCTTACTGTCGCCGCACTAATTGGTTCCTCGGTTCGGCGCATGATCGGGTGGGCGGCTCTGGCAGGCGTTCCTTTGTGCGCTTCGAGGTTAGAGCTGCTGGGGCCTTTCATAGCTCCCAAATCGCGTAGCGATTTGTGGAACAGGAGAATTTGACGGAAGTGCGTGATGCATGCCACTCTTCTCATCCTGGCTGGGGCCCCCCCGAGCTTACGTCCAGGACCTAGTCTTGGAGGGGAAGCACTCACTTGTCTCGTGCGCCGTGGTGCTCCCAGGGAGCAGGTGGTTCACGCTTCGCGCAGCACGGTGTGCTTGTTCTGATGCGCCGGTGTCCCTTTGGGATTGCGGCGGTGTCTGTCGTCTGGTCAGCCGTCGGGTCGTTGGGCTCCTGCCCGCAAGGGGCCTTTCTCTTGCGCGCCTGGGCAGGCGCAGGTTGCCAGCCGCAGGCGCGCGACGTCAGGAGACAGCCCACTAGCAGTGCCGCTGAGCGCTGTGGGCTGCCCCTGCGAGGAGAAGATTTGCCGTTTGCAATTGTCTCCTGGGCTGCGGCGGCTGAGGCAAACACAGGTCTTCAGCTGCTGGCATGCCCGTTTGGCGAACTGAGCTCTGTGCAATCCTGGCACAGGTTTGGCAGTTTCCTTCAGGCGTTCCTTGCGTGCGAATTTCATTGCTACGCCCAGATTCGTGGGCGATCTGTTTTCTGCTGGCAGCCCAGGCGAAGGTGAAAGTGAATTCGCGGGCCCTGCTGGCACGGCAAACTGCACTCGCCAGGTGATCGATCTCCTGGGATGGGAATTGGATCCCAAGAAATCCGTAGAGAATGAATCGTGCACCACTGTGCTTGGCGTTTGCGCCCGGGCTCTGCCGGGCGCGATTGTGTTCTGGATCGGCTCTGAAAAACTAGAGAAATGGCTCCAGTGCATAGATTGCGCTTCGGAACCTGATCTCCTCCGCCCAGCAGAAGCTAGGCGTTTGGCGGGCCGCCTCAGCTGGCGAAGCCCTGTAGTTTTTGGTCGCGGTGCCAGAGCGCGTGTAGCTGCCTTGCGCTGGCAAGCGAATCGGTCACAAGGAAACATCCCCAGGCGCGCGAGAAATGCACTTCTCTGGTGGCGCCGTTTCCCGACAGCTTGCCCGACGCGCGTGGTCCCTTTAGCGCCGCGCGAAATGCAGCGCTGCTTTGTTTACGCAGACGCTGTTGGCAATGGCGGGCTAGGGTTCGTGCTTGTCCATCCCCGAGTGCGCGTGTGGGCTGCTGATTCTGTCCCCGACGCAGCTCGGAGGTGGGCGCGACCGCGCCGCGCCCAGATTTCACATTGGGAACTGCTTGCGGCAATTTGCAGCGTAGAATGCTTGATCGAAAGTGGTCTGCAGGACTGCGAGATCGTTTTGTTCATTGATAGCAACTTTGCGCTGCGCACTTTAATCCGCGGCGCCAGCCGGCAGAGCGACTACAACGAGATCGTCAATGGATTCTCGTTCACTATGGCCGCCGCTGGCCTCCTGCTTCATGCCGAGCGGGCCCCGTCCAAATCAAATTTGGCGGACGGCCCCGCGAGAGCGGAATCTTTTCAAGTGTCCCAGGCCGACCTCGCAGAGCGAGGTTTTGAACAGATCCAGCGGAGCTGGCCAAGCCAATTGCCCTGGGGCGCCCAGTGACATGAGCGGCGCGAGGAAAAAACTGCAGCATCGTCGCATTGTCGCCGTCACCCGCCCAGTAGTCTGGGTGGCCAGGACACGTAAAAAACACATGGTGCCAGCTCGGGACAATCGTGTTAGATACACCCCTGAGTGGCCTGGACACATTAAAACACATGGTCCCTGCTCGGGACAATCACGTTAGATATCCCCCCCCTGGGTGGCCTGGACACGTAAGAACACGTTGTTCCTGCTCGGGGCAACCATGTTATGTACCCCCCTGGGTGGTCTGGACATATAAAAACACGTGATCCCAGCTCGGGACAATCATGTTAGATACCCCCAGGTGTGGCCTGGACATGTAAGCATATATACTTTCAGCTTGGGACAGCCATGTTAGATACCACCCCCTGCGTGGCCTGGATACGCTGAATTCGCGCTCCCGCTCGAGACATCTGCGCAATGTCTTTCCTGGAGAGGCCCTCAAGGCGCACCCACCCCCTTGTACAGAGCAAGAACACATAACTTTTCTGTCTTGGGATACGTGTTCAATTAGCGCTTTTCGGCACCCCGTGCGTTTCCTGATAATTCGGCGTCGGGCCCGACGCCATGTTGGATATTCCCCCTGGGCGGCCTAGACACGGAAAACCATGTGGTTCCAGTTCGGGACAATCGTGTTAGATATCCCCCTGGGGGGCCTGGGCACGTAAAAACGCGAGGCTCCAGCACAGGACCACCATGTTAGATACCCCCGTGGGTGGCCTGGACACTTGAAAACACACGGTTCCAGCGCAGGACCACCATGTTAGATACCCCTCCTGGGTGGCCAGAACACGTAAAAACACGTGGTTCCAGCTCGGGACCACCATGTTAGATACCTCCCTGGCTGGGCTGGACACGTCAAAACACCTGATTCCAGCTCGGGACCACCATGTTAGGTACCCCCGTGATGGCCTGCACAAGTAAAAACTCACGGTTCCAGCCCACACGGGGGTGATATCCAACATGCGGTCGTCTGGGGCGCCAGCGACGGACAACCATGTTGGATACCCCCCTGGCCGACATGCGCACGTGAAAACAAGCATTTCGCCTGAGACACCTCTGAATTCTGCCCCCCCACGGGGCCCCCGCTCGAGACATCCCCAAACTCTGCAAAACCAGCGTTTCGCTCGAGACATCTGGGGCGCCAGCGACGGACAACCATGTTGGATACCCTCCTGGCCGACCTGGGCACGTGAAAACAAACATTTCGCCTGAGACATCCTCTGAATTCCGGCCCCCCACGGGGCCCCCGCTCGAGACATCCCCCAACTCTACAAAACCAGCGTTTCGCTCGAGACACCCTCAGCAAATTCCGAAACAAAAAATGTTTCGCTCGAGACATCCTCAAAAATAATTCCGCCGGCCCTCTCCGACTTTGTGATTTATCGCGAATAATTCCGCTGGCCCTCTTCAAGTCGAGGCGGGGGGGAAAACCTACTAAAAGAGAACTCTGGGTCAGAGCCCTTTTTGGGAAAAGAAAACGCTGGGCCACTGCCCTTTCCGGGAAAAAACTATATAAACATAATCTTTTGGAGGTCCGCGCGGATTCTTGGAACTGGGTTAGGACCCCATCGAGCGCGCTAGGGGCGGCGCCGGAGGCGCCCCCAGGGGGCCCCAGCGCGGAGCCCAGAAATCCGCGCGGAGCGCCTTCAGTTTCTGCTCATGGCGTTTCTTTCTTCTTCTTCGTCCTTCTCTCAGCCTTCTTCTTTGAGCCTTGGTCCGCTGGTCGGCCATCTCGTGCTCCTCGGCCACCTCGTGTCCCCAGACGCTAATCGACGTTAGTCGACTAAGAGGGAAACACGACGAGGAGCACGAGAGGAGACGCGAGCGGCGCGTGCGCGCGCGCGAGGGCGGCATCCGCCGCGGCCTGCGCCAGCAGCAGGCACGCTGCCAGCCGCGGCCGCCGCGGCCCGGCGAGGGGCCGGCTGCCGGCGCCCTGCCGCGGGTCGCCGTCGCCGTCGTCGTCGTCGTCGTCGTCGTCGTCGTCGTCGTCGTCGTCGTCGTCGTCGTCGTCGGTGTCGTCGTCGGCGTCGGCGTTGTCGTCGGTGTCGTCGTCGTCGTCGGCGTCGTCGGCGTCGTCGTCGGCGTCGTCGTCGTCGTTATCGTCGTCGCAGTCGTCGTCGGCGTCGTCGTCGGTGTCGTCGTCGGCGTCGTCGCCGCCGTGGCCACCGTCGCCGCTGCCCTCCTCGCCGCCGCCGCCGTCCTCGCCGCCGCTGTCCTCCTCGTAGCCGCCGCAGCCGCCGTCGTGGGCCGTCGGTCAGGGCCTCCTATCGGCGCGAAGCGAGGGGGGGAAGTGAGAAGGAGAAGGCCTTCTCAGAAGGCTCAGAAGTCCCCCGCCCTTCTGAGAAGTCGTCTAAGCCTTCCACGAAGACACAGAAGACTTCTCAGAAGGCGCGAGGGCCCCTGAGAAGTCCCGCCGCCTTCCGAGAAGGCCTTCTCCTTCTCACTTCCCCCCCCCTCGCTCGCCGCCGATCCTGAGGCCGGGGGGGCATTGCTGATCAGGACTTTGGGCGTTCCACCTCGCGAGAGGGAGGAATGAAAGCCTCACTGCATCGACCTTGCAGAGGTACTGCAGCGGATTTGTCTGGTGAATTTCTGCCAATGCAAAACCCCGAAACGACGAGCGAAAAACGGAGTGAATTTCACGTGGATGTTTTGTAGTCTTCATTCCTGGCCAAACATGATCGACCCACGAACCCGGCAAGAATTATAGAAATGTAAGGCATGGCAACGTTCCAAAGACACCTGATTGGGCGACGGGCAAATGCAATGCTGAATGTATCGATCTTGATGTACCGTGCCGAGGGCTGTGCTGTGCTGCGCCGTGTTGAATTGCGATGTGCCATGCCGCGATTGTGCTCTGTAGCGTTGTGGGTCGAGTCCTCCTTTGTATTCGAGTCCTGACCGAACTGATCTGGATCTTAAGCTCGAGCTGCCTGAGCACATTGTAGCTGCCCCAGAGCTAATTGACAGGGGAATCTGCCAGGACGCGCCGCGGAACGTCCCAAGGGATGCGCCAGGCGACGAAGGGGCGTGCCATGGGGACGCACGGCGGGACGTGCCAAGGGGACACGCTACGGAACGTGCTGGGGACAAGCGTTTCGCTGGAGACATCCTGCCCAAATCCTCATGCTAGACATCCGCCTGGGCGAACTGGACACGTGAAAACAAGCGGTTCGCTCCAGACATCCTCAACACATCTTCATGTTGGACGTCCCTTCCAGGCCCCCAGGAAGGCCCCAGGAGGCCCATGTTAGATACCCCCCAGGTGGCCTGGACACGTTAAAGCACTTGGTTCCACCAAATTAAATACCCCTTGGGTGGCCTGGACACGTAAAACCACGTGGTTCCAATTCGGGACAATCATGTTAGATACCACCCTGGGTGGCATGAACACGTAAACACACGTGGGACCAGCTCTGGACAACAATGTTAGATACACCCCTGAGTGGTCTGGACACGTTGAAGCACGTGGTCCTTGCTCGGGGCAGCCATGTTAGATGCCCCTCTGGGTGGCCAGGACACGTCAAAAACATGGTGCCAGCTCGGGACAACCATGTTAGATACCCCCTGAGTGGCCTGGACATGTTAAAACACGTGGTTCCAGCTCGGGACAACCATGTTAGGTATCTCCTGGGTGGCCTGGGTACGTTCCTTGCTCGGGACAATCATGTTAGATACCCCCTGGGTGGCCTGGACACGTTAAACACACGTGGGACCAACTCTGGACAACAATGTTAGATACGCCCCTGGGTGTTCTGGACGCGTTAAAGCACGTGGTCCTTGCTCGGGGCAACCATGTTAGATGGCCCTCTGGGTGGCCATGCCACGTCAAAAACATGATCGACCCACGAACCCGGAAAGGAATATAGAAATGTAAGGCATGGCAACGTTGCAACGACACTTGATTGGGCGACGGGCAAATGCAGTGCTGAATGTACAGATCTTGATGTACTGTGCCGAGGGCTGTGCGGTGCTGGCCGTGCTGAACTGCGATGTGCCATGCCGCGATTGTGCTCTATATAGCGTTGTGGATCGAGTCCTCCCTGGCATCCGAGTCCTGACCGAACTGATCTGGATCGTAAGCTCGAGCTGCCTGAGCAGATGGTAGCTGTCCCAGAACTAATCGACAGAGGGGACATGCCAGGAGGACGCGCCGCGGAACGTCCCAAGGGACGCGCCAGGCGGCGTGCCAGGGGACGTGCCATGTGCACGCACCGCGGGACGTGCCAAGGGGACGCGCTACGGAACGTGCCAATGGACGTGCCGCGGGACGTGCCAAGGGACGCGCCGCGCGACGTGCCAGGTGGACTCGCCAAGGAACGCGCCAAAGAACGTGCCAGGATGCAATGTTGAATGTATCGATCTTGATGTACCGTGCCGACGGCTGCGCTGTGCTGGCCGTGCTGAACTGCGATGTGACATGCCGCGATTGTGCTCTATATAGCGTTGTGGATCGAGTCCTCTTTGCATCCGAGTCCTGACCGAACTGATCTGGATCTTAAGCTCGAGCTGCCTGAGCAGATGGTAGCTGCCCCAGAACTAATCGACAGGGGGACATGCCAGGAGGACGCGCCGCGGAACGTCCCAAGGGACGCGCCAGGCGACGTGCCAGGAGACGTGCCATGGGCACGCACCGCGGGACGTGCCAAGGGGACGCGCTACGGAACGTGCCAATGGACGTGCACCGCGCGACGTGCCAGGGGGACTCGCCACGGGACGCTCCGCGGAACGTGCCAAGCAACATGCCAAGCTGCAATGCTCAAAGTATCGATATTGATGTACCGTGCCGAGGGCTGTGCTGTGCCTGGGCGACCTGGACACGTGAAAACACGCGTTTCGTTCAAGACGTTCTCAGCACATCCTCACGCTAGACATCCGCCTGGGCAACCTGGACACGTGCAAACAAGCGTCTCGATCGAGACTTCCTCGACACATCCTCATGCTAGACATCCGCCTGGGCGACCTGGACACGTGAAAACAAGCCTCTGGTTCGAGAAATCCTCAACAGATCCTCATGCTAGACATCTGTCTGGGCAACCTGGAGGCGTGAAACCAAGCGTCTCGCTGGAGACATCCTCAAGACCTGGGCACGTGAAAACAAGCATTTCACTTGAGAGATCCTCTGAATTCAGGTCCCCAGGAGAGGACAATCTTTAACACAAAACAAGCGTTTCGCTCGAGACATCCTCAACAAATTCTGAAAAACAAGCGTTTCGCTAGGGACATCCTCAAATTTTAATTCGCCGGCCCTCTTCCCATTCGTTATTCATCGCAAAAGAAATCCGCCGGCCCTCTTCCCGTCAGATCCGGGGGTGAACCTCTAAAAGAAAACCCTGGGCCTACGCCCTTTCCGGGGACATGGTGCCAGCTCGGGACAACCATGTTAGATACTCCCCTGAGTGGCCTGGACATGTTAAAACACGTGGTTCCAGCTCGGGACAACCATGTTAGATGCCCCCCCTCCTCTGGGTGGCCTGCATATGCTGAATTCGCGCTCCCGCTCGAGACATCCTCGCCGTGTCTTCCCTGGAAAGGCCCCCAAAGCGCCACCCCCTGTCCAGAGCAAGATAGCAACACTTTTCTGTATTGGGATCTGTGTTCGGGTAGCGCTTTTCGGCCCCCTGTGCGTTTCCTGACAATTCGGCGTTGGGCCCGACGCCATGTTAGATATCCCCCTGGGGAGCCTGAACACATAAAAACACGTGGATCCAGCCCTGGGCAACAATGTTAGATGCACCCCTGGGTGGCCTGGACACGTTAAAGCACGTTGTCCTTGCTCGGGACAACCATGTTAGATACCCTCCTGGGTGGCCTGGACATATAAAAAAACACGTGGTGCCAGCTCTGGGCAACCATATTAGATCACCCCTGAGTGGCCTGGACACGTGAAAACACGTGGTCCTTGCTCGGGGCTCGGGACAACCATGTTAGATGGCCCCCCTGGGTGGCCTGGATACGAACGAACACGTGGTGCCAGCTCGGGACAACCATATTATATACACGCCTGAGTCGCCTGGACACGTTAAAGCACATTGTCCTTGCTCGGTACAACCATGTTAGACACCCCCTGGGTGGCCTGGACACGTAACAACACATGGTTCCAGCGCGGGACAACCATGTTAGATATCCCCCAGGGTGGCCTGGACGTATGAAAACACGTGGTTCCAGCTCGGGACCACCATGTTAGATACCCCCCTGGGCTGCCTGGACACGTGAAAACACATGGTTACAGCCCACCCAGGGAAGATATCCAACATGCGGTCGTCTGAGGCGCCAGCGGGGGACAACCATGTTAGATACCCCCCTGGCTGGCCTGGGCTCGTGAGAGCAAGCATTTCGCTGGAGACGTCCTCTGAATTCGAACACCCGACGAAGCACCCGCTCGAGACATCTCCCAACTCTGCAAAACCAGCGTTTCGCCTGAGACATCTTCAACTAATGTGTATACAACGCGCGTTTCGCTAGGGACATCCTCATTTGTTCCACGCCGAATGGGACTTTACCTCGCCACCTCCAGATAATACCCCCTGGGGATAATAACATTCGGGGTCCAGCGGGATAATTCGCCGGTCCAACGGGCCAGAGGCGTGCTAAGATCTCCGGTAACTGGTAAACAGTATTTCTAGTTCGCGCGCGCGGGGCGGCCCCTGGGGCTCCCTGGATCAAAAGTACCCCGGGCGGAGCCCGGGCGGAGCCCGGGACACTCCCCCAGATCCTCCAGGATCGCCCCAAGAGGGCCCCAAGAGGCCCCCAACACAATCCAAGAGAGGTCCGAGACGCCCGAAGATCGCTCCACGGCGCCCAAGATGGCCTCCAGACGGCCCAAGACGTCTCCAAGATGACCCAACAAGCCTCCAAGATGCCCCAAGAGACCTCCAGGAGCACTCCCAAGAGGGCCCCAAGAGGCAAAAATCAATGCTTTTTCTTAGGTTT